CACACACACACACACACACACACACACACACACACTCACACACACACTCACTCACACACACACACACACACACACACACACACACACACACACACACACACACACACACACACACACACACTCACTATACACTGAGAGAGATCTTCTCAAATTGTTGCTGCACTTAAAACCCAGGTCAAAAGATAAGGCAATAGGTCAATGTGTCAGGTGCAGGCAAGAACATTTTTGTCATTGTGCTGATAATATGGTAATATTATAACTTAAGAGATTTCTGGGCTAGTTTGCATTTTTTGTTGCCACTTTTGTTTCGGCTTAAGTGGCCTAGAGGTTAAGGTGTTCGCCTCTTATTCAATAGATCCCGGGTTCGAATCCGGATAGCGACGAAAATTTTCCTTCTCTAAATTGTCTCCTTTCAGTTCACATCCTTTCCTGCTCTCAAGCAATGTTCTGTCGTCTGCTTTCGTCTCTACTTTCTGCCCCCATTCCCTCACCTCCTTTGCCCCCTCCTCTGGGCTCCTGACTCTTTCTGAAGCCTTGTACTGCTACTCCTTGGCTCCTTCTTACTGCTGTAGTGGTAGGAAATATCTTCTCTGGCCTTCTCGGACAAGGGAGAAAAATCTCGGAGGTTTCGTGTGCAAGTTGCGAGCGTTAACGGCCCTTTGGTGGTCCAAAATCGATAAGAGTAGGCTTTGCCACTCGGGCAACATTCAAAAGTTCTTACGAACTGAAAATGTTTCATATGACCTTATTAACTTGCAGTTGCGAGCGCCGTGAAGCACTTAAAAAATACCACCAAAAAAAAAAAGAAACAACCAAAGTGCGGTATCAAACGCTTGGCATATTATTACAATCAGCGTGGCCTGTCTCCTCTACGCTACATTACCTGTGCTGTTGTTTTTTACCTCTCGGTGGAAAGTTAACCACAAACTATTATTTTATATGAAAAAAGTACACGTATTTTTTTTTAAAAGCCAACATCTCAGGCACAGTTCTGCTATTTTATTGTACGCATTGTCGAACTGCGTCCAATTAATGTACATACACTTAAATCGCATAAGCCTACTGCGTGCATTCCATGATGTAATCTTAAAGTGCCTTTTAAATTTTTTTTAAAGGAGATATGTTGACGCTACGGTGTGGTGGGAAATACAAGCATCGATAGTGTGATAAAATAGAATAAAATAAAATTGAATCTTATGATACAGGAGGAGGAGGAGGAGGAGGAG